TTGTAATACTTGATTACACAGTTATTTTCATGTCTGAAATTCTTAATTCCTGTCTGCTATCATTTTTCTTGCTGTTCTTATAATCTTCTCAGTTATGATGTCTTTGCTACTTGGCAAGAGGGAAAAATGAATGCCTGTGTTTGCCATTGAAATATTTGAAAGCTGTACAAAAGTGAGAATGGAATTGTTTTAATCCTGGAAGTAAAAGATAGACATGGAAATTATATTTTCTCACTATTTCCTATGGATCTTTGTTTCCTATTTTGAAGTGATTCATCAAAAAGGAAAAAAGAGCATTGATCTGGATTAACTAAATAGACTTTACCCATAATAAGTATCTTCATCCCTTCCTTTTTACTTTCATAAGTATCAATATAATGTTTTGTTTAAAGCTTTTTCTTGTACCACTGTTTTATTTAGTAATCCTATGGACTAAAACAGGGGTGTCAAACTGGTGGCCCATGGGCTGGATGCATCACATGCAGGCCACGCCCACCTCAAATCCGCAAAGGGGAAAAACATCACGAAACATCACATGACAGCAACGTGACACTGTGAGTTTGACACTCGTGGACTAAAAGATATTAAAGGTAGTGTTTTAATCAAAATATAATTGATCTAAATTAAAGATTTAATATGTTGAAAATGTTTTTGTTTACAGTACAGGTACAAGTCTTGGCATTATGTATTTAATAATAAAATATAGAACTCAAAACAGAGCATGGGATTTTGCAAACTTTGTTTTTACTATTAATGAAACCTTGCAACAGCAAAATAACTCTTCATTTTAATTGAATTTGTGGGTAAACACATTTCTAAACACCTATTGACATTCAGAAAATTTAAAAATATTGTTCTGATTCCTTCCTTCCTTTTCAAATAACAGTAATGCTTTGCTCTTTTTATCCCAGTCACTATGCAGTTTCAAATGGTTAAGTATTTGACATCTTGGGTTAATAAAGTAGACGTTATTAGACCTACTATTGTGGAAAGATTGGTTATAGCAAAGAAGAATTTCCCACTCAATACCTGGGTTATTCAAACTTCTTTTAGTCATATAGAATCACCTGTATTATAGTCAATTGTAAACAGCTGTATTATGACATTATAAACTATATAGTTTATATATATGGTTACAAAAGGAATTATTTTTGAAAATATATCTTCCCAATCCCAATAAAATATTACTTTAATTTTACTAGGCAATATTTCCTATAAACATTTTGTTGAAATCTGAATTATGCATGTGAAATAGTAAATACACATCTGAAGCAAGATTTAAGATGTAAGCACATTCTTCATTTATCACCTTAAATATTAGATCAGTCAAATAATTGTCAAAACAATGCAACAATTGAATCTGCTTCTATAGTACAAAATATTTGGATTTGCAATTATATAATAAATCATTTGCTTCTGAATATTGTATTTTTTAAAAAAGATAAGGATGCTATCTACATTTACCTACTCTGATCCCAACTGGCTGCAAAGAGCAAAAGTATCTTTCTGCCATAGTGATCACGGTTTTCTAGCACTCCTGGGAATCCATCAATCAGAGCTCGTTTGATCCCTGGATCATCAGCCTTGAAATTTTTAAACATATCCAGATTCAGCTGCCGGTACTGGAAATACTGAGCCAATAATCTGAAGGCATCTGTTTGATGAAACTTTCTGGCTCGGAGGAATCTCAGGATGAAGGCATCATCTGTACGCAAGAATCCAATGTCAGGTCTTGTGATGATCATGTCCCTTACTTGCTGAATATCCTGGTGCAAAACATCTGGGTTTTCATTAAGTTCCAGACGGGCTTTCTCTATGATTTCTGGACTGAGTCCAGTATGCAAATGGGTCATGTCTTCAAAAGTTGCTTTTCTAAATCCTTAGCTTTAGAAATATGGTCAGAATATGCAATGGCTCCATTCAACTAAGAGTATGTGGTGATCCATTCAAGTGCATTTATCTCTTGCATTATATTGAGTGGAAAACAAATTCCATTTATATCCCCAGATATCTATCCAAGGTACAAATTTGCATTCTCTGAAAAACAAATATATAGATCAAAATCACTAATTATATGTGAATAAACAGAAATTGAATAAGCACATTTCAAAACGCTATATCTCCCTTTTTATTGCCAGTACAGACCTGATTAAAATTGAATTATTTTGAATGGAATAATACATTGTCATCAATTCTGTGCCTCACATACATCAAGATGAAAATATAATTGCACTGAGCCATCAGCACTGTAGATATTACATTGATTTAATATTTAGTATTATGCTATTGCTCCATATTTAACGAGAATAAAATTAAAAATGGAAGACTAGGGGTATGACGTATGTATTCTGAGAAATAATAACACTTTTTGTAAATAAACCTGCTTTCATCTGGCTAAATGGAACTTCATTCTCATTGAGATCATATTTTCCAAAGAATTATACTCAGAGTATATTGCATGGCATTGCAATCTACATAATTGTTTCTGGTGAAACTCTGAAGCAAGATTAGAAAAGATTTCTATTGAAGACATGCAAATTACCTAATCATTAACACACTGGGGTGATTCAGTCAGTTCCTTCTGGAGAGATTCCTGGACTCCCACATCTCCCACAACTTTTCACATATTCCAATGCAGAGAGTCAAAGGGATCAGTCCCTCTGTTGAAAGAAATTTCTATGTGTCTTTGTATATATGTGAACTACAACACATATAGGACTCAAATAATTTGTCTATATCTATATTGATGACAAATCCACATATCCATGGTAGAATCAAAGAGGGTCAAGGGAGGGCAGGAGAGGGTGGGAAAGAAGAGGAGAGGAGAGATTATAGTGAAAGTGGAAAGATTACTGGAAGAGAAATGATTCCATTTTCATTCTAGTTGTTTCATTTCTTTGCTTTTCTTTCAGGTCAATTTTTCTCCTAGATTTATTCTTGAACTACCATGAAATTCCCTGTCTCAAATTCAGAACTTTTTTTCACTCTTGTGTTCTCATTAATTCTCAGACTTTCATCACAAACAATTAAACCAGTCACATATTTAAATCCATTCCCTTTTTGTCACACATAAAGAACTTATGTTGAACCATATATTTATCCAAAACAAATAGAAAGTCTGAGCAGATGATCATCAATCTAATTGCCATTGACTCTTGAATATACAAATGGAACACTCGCATTATTGAACTCTTTCTTACTCTCTAATCCATTCATCTCAATTCACAGAAAAGAATTGTTTAAAATTTTTTCCTGAAGTATAATGCAATATTTGATTATAGGTAGAATTTTAGCATAAAACTACCCAGGCAATGGATCCTTTGCCTGCAGAAATTGAACCTAGATATCACTCTTCCTCTCAAGATGGCAAAAAACCCAGAGTGCTTCCAAAAAACAACAATAATTCAGGACAAGAATAAGTGAGACTGCATCAAAAATGACTTCCTCTTCCAGGAAGCCAGGTGAGTTTCCCCTAATAAACACAAGGATGAGTCCAGATCCAGAGATAACTGATATTCCTGTTTGGGGCTAATAAGCTTTAAAAATACAAAGTTCTTCTTTATAAGGGTCTTATTCATAGAAGAGTAAAGACACACTGGAGCGTTAGTAAAAATTTTACTTATATTCCATCTTAGTCATTATTAAAGCTGAACTCTGAAGATCTTATAATCTACTCATCTGTCCAAAAAGGTCAGGTCACATGCCTTCCCTGAATTAGCCCTACTAAGTCATTATTTATTTGTTTGTTTATTGCACTTATATACCCAGAGATAAGCCTAGATGTAGAAGTGCATGAGTGAACGCTGTGCTATGCTAACCAGTCTTTGGATAGTATTCAATAGACCATAGTAAGTAGCAGGAAATGTCAGGCTTTACCAATTGAGCTAGTTAAAAGAAAGAAAAAAAGAGGAAGTTGTTCTAGATAAGATGGCAGCTGGTAATATTTCTATCTGCATGTGTGGTACTGAATAGATTGGCTTGTGCTAGCAGATCATGAAGTTAAATCTTTTCACATAGTAAATGAAATGTCAGGTTTACTGTTTTGGTGAAAGGCCACATTTTGCATGAGCACATATAAAATCACTAAAAAGTAAACACTATGCATTTTTACATCCCTTCTTTCATTCTAACATTGGGCCTTAAGGCAACATGTAGGCAGCCAGAATAATCAATATTCCTTTGAAGTTTCCTGATAGTACTACTAAATATAAAATGTTAATGGCTATTATAATATAGTCATTTAGTGGCTGACCTATGCCTACTAGTTGTTTCATTCATAAAAATTCTTGAATGCTATAAAGCAATTAAACAAAAAAGTATTTAATTTTCAGCTTTAACAATTAACATTTATCATTAAAATATAAACTGCTTTAGACTCCTATCCTGTTATTATAATCTGTTTACAAAATCTGAAGATACAGCTGCCAGGTCTTTAGTATGAAACCTAAGATGTCATAAAGTCTCAATATGAGCTGATCCAAGTCGGTGGTCTTTTGCAATTGACAGATGGAAATTTTATCAATGAGCAGATTTTTGAAGTGCCACCCAAGATTTCAGTTTATGCCATAATTTTTCAATTACAATTTTCACATCTTGATACCTTGTGTTCTTCTCCAGTCCTTTATCTACCTTTCTACTATCACCACATATTGCCACATCAATTATCTACACTTTTTTCTTTTAAGCCAGTTATATCTGGTGTGTTATGAGCCAAGACATTATCAGTCTACATTCAGAAATCTCATAATATTTTAACATGTTCATTTTTGACTACTGTTTCAACTATATGTACCCACCAATTTTTTATTACTAGTACATGATAATTTTTGCAGATGTTACAGTGAATCATTTTGGCAGGTGTGCTTTCTTGTATAGTTTGTACTAATTACAAACTAAATGCAATTAAGTTTGTGTAATATTCTATCATGATCTGAATATATGATCTACTCTTTCTTCTGTCTCTTTGCACAATCTGCACTTTGAATCACTTAAAGATTTTTCAATTTTGGCTTTGATTATATTAGTTTGAATAGCTTGCTCTTGTACAGCCAAAAGCAAGCCTTCAGTTTCTTTTTAAAATATTATTATATAATAAATACTAGTCCCGCCTGAAACACAGTCAGCTAGGTGACCTTAGCCAGTTACTTTCTTGCAGGTCTAGAAAGGAGACAATGGCAAGTTATTTCTGAAGTCTTTCAAGAAAACTGCAAGTCTTTCTAGGTAGTTTCCAAGAGTCATAACTAACTTGAAAACACAACACACACACACACACACACACACACACATACAAAAAAAATGAAAGATAGAAAAAATACAAACACTCACACATTTACCACTTAATCTGGCAAGGATTACTTGTGAGAAGATATTTACAGTATTTAACTGAAAATTGAATAAACATAGTTATCGATTCTACAAAAATCTGTAACTGTGTTTACAAAAAAACCTACAGTATCTTAATATAATATTTGTCTTCTCACAACAACAGAAATCAAAGTGTTTAAAATATGTTATATTCAAGGAATTAAGAAATGAAAAAACTAATATTGAGACAGGGAATACATGTATGTATGTATGTATGTATGTATGTATGTATGTATGTATGCATGTATGTATGTATTACAAAAGTTCATTTTTCCAAAACTTAGCAATAGCTAAGTTTAGGCTTATATACCACTTCATAGGGCTTTACAGCTCTCTCCAAGCAGTTTAGTCAGCATAATGCCTCCAACAATTTGGGTCCTCATTTTACCAACGTCAGAAGGATGGAAGGCCAAGTCAAACATGAACTGGTCAAGATCAAACTTCTGGCAGTGGGCAGAGTCAGTCTACAATACTGCATTCTAACCACTGTGCCACCTAGGCTCTTAAATAAACAACTGTTAAAATGTTGTTTGTATCAGTTAGGACCAGATTTATTTTCCTATATAATAAAATGTGTATAACCCACACATTTGATGCAGAACCACCACCACCCCAAATAATTCAAATACAACTTTCCAACATAATAATGTACTCACCCAGAAGTCCACACAAAGTTAACATATTTACAATATCAATAATACTTACTTATATAATGCTTCATGGTGCTTTAAAGCCATGAGGACCCAGATTGTTGGGGGCAATATGCTGAGTCCTCATTTTACCAACCTTGGAAGGATAGAAGGCTGAGTCAACCTTGAGCCAGTGAGAATCAAACTGCTGGCAGTCAGCAGAATTAGCTTGCAATACTGCATTCTAAACACTGCCCCCCCCCCCCCATGGCTCTATGAACAATCATAGAATTTTTTGCTCAAATAACTGATTTATTAAAAAATACTGAATGGATTAAGTTTATAGTCTACTCTTTTTTATTTTTCACCATTCTTCTAATTTCTATTTATTTTAAGCTGTCTGCAAGATTCCATCTTTATTTTTTATAGTTGAGATTACTGAAATAAACTAGGGCTAGAAGTACATGTGTCAGGTAAAAATTACTTGTAATATAACATTATTCACAAAAATGTTTTAAAAATTCTGTTACGATTTTGGTTGGCTGAAAAAAATGCATTTTTCAAAGTCTTGCCTGCCCATCACTGCTTTCAAAATATTAATGAAGTTTATGCTTTTAATGCTTTGTTAATTTTTTTTTGTGACTCAACCTTATGGGAGCCCTCCCTAACTTAGCTAGATATGAGCTAAATTGTAGTCAAATAATCTGGAGATCATTAGGTTTGAAAAGGTGTGATCTCTATTTTGCAATTCTAGCACAATATTTGATTATGTATTCACAAATGTTTGATGTAATGATTACTATTACACCAATTATAATACTTACACTTCTCAATCTTATTTATTTATATCCTGACTTTAT